TGCGCGTGCGCGTGCGGGGGGGAGTAGGTGGAAGGCCATCGCTTCTAAGTTGGAGGCCATCGGCAAGTAGGTTGGAGGCCATGGCTACTAGGGTGGAGGCCATCGCTATCAAAAGGAAGGTCTAAAGTCTAAAGAGTGGAGCTCAAATTCTCAAACAACGCAACGAAACAAATTCGATAACATAATGCCATGACTGATAGACATGTTCCGCTTTTCAAATCGTTATGGCCAGAGACCAAGGCTGAAGCGAACGGATGGAGCTGGTGCAAAACTCTGGTAAAGTTCACCCAAAACGATTTGAAATCCAGACTATCTAATACTTGTGTTTTAATTCTTTATGATGCATTGAATGCATTGTTTAACATTGTGTGCTTTTCGTTAATTCTTTGTTCTAAGGTCTGCAGAACATGGTTGGAGTGCCGACAAGGAGACACGCTCAGAAATCGAAAGAGATTCGTCTAGGAACCGGCTTTGCATCGAGATACTAAGAGCCTAAGTGGACAACTATTTGATCTCACTATCACTATACCGACTAGCAATCGCCTCCCACCTACTTGCCCATGCCACCTCCCACCTCTCACCACCATACCGACTAAGACCACTCGAGTCAGTGAGCCAACCGCCCACGCGTCGCTCAGTGGTGGGAGTGGTCTTGGAGCGGCTGGGAGACAGAGAATTGGGACGGCAAGCACTGCCTGAGCCCCGTACTGCATGGCAAGCTTTCTGTGTGGCATTTCTTTTGTTTAGGGTGGAGGACATCGCCAGCGGTTTGAATCTTGCCTTACCAAGGTGATTGGAAATCGGAAAGTCCTCCTGGGAAGGAGAAGGGTGACAAAGCTGTGACAGCTGTCCAGGCTGAAGATGTATTTCGCAGAAACCGTTTGGGCATTCTTGCGCTTTGGAAGAAAGAAGGGAAGAAGAGAGAAGTAAGATCTGAAGTTTAAACTAGAAAAAAAACAGAAAGAAAGCAAACAAGCAAGCAAAACAAGGAAGGAAGGAACAACGCAAAGAAGCGGTCTAAAAGCAACACAACAATATCTTCCTGCAACAGTGAGATGAGGCAGCTTTCGGCAGCTTGAATTGGGGTCCTCCTTTCAAGGCCGGCCTGCACACTGCCGTCGATTTTTCTGAGTGTTAGCTACTAGTAGCGATGCCATTTTTTCCTAGTAGAGTCCTTGCTCCTAGTAGCGAGGCGAGGAGCCCGTAAGAGCGTCCTTGCTCCTAGTTCTTTCACGAAGATTTCCCGCAGAAGGCTTTTTCATCAACCATCGCTGCAAAATCGGCTCCTACCTACCTTCTCTTTCTAATCTTTCTCCATTTCTTTCCTTTCCTTTCCCTTCCTTTCTATTTCTATTCTGTTTTAGACCTGTTTTAATTCTATTATGTTCTTAATTCTTTCATTCTTTTTAGATTGTGTTCTTTCGTTCTTTCTGTTTGAGCGTTCGTTTGACCGGGATTTTTCCGTTTTGGAAGATCGACACCAGTTTGGAGTAAGAACAGAGGGTGAGCCTTGTTAAAAGGGGCCCAAACACAATCTTGTTTTTTCAAACAGACATCAGACATCTGACAACTTTATTCAGAACTGTTGTTTTTAGAAGCTTTTGTTCATCCGACCGCTTCTTTGAGGCTTAGCCTGACCCATTTCAAGACCAGATCGACCATTTTTAAGCCTTGAACGGCCCAAAAAGCTGAGAAGCTTCCTTAAAGACCAGCTTAACGAAAAAACACACATGAAACGAACACTTTTGTTCCCCTCTTATTCTTTACCGTTTTTCATTTGCAAGAACGCTTTCTGATTTCGTGGTGTCCACATGTCATTTTCGTCAGGATGCCGACCTTTTTCCTGAGGCACCGATGGCTGACGGTCGTTCCTCGTGTTGTGTGACAGTAGTTTCACATCAACCTAATAGCAATGGCTTCCAACCTAGTAGCTTCTAGCTACTAGTAGTAAGGCCAGGAGCTACTAGTAGCTTCTTGCTCCTAGTAGCGTTCCTAATAGCAATGGCCTCCAACCTGATAGTAATATTCTTTGATTTCACATCAGTCTCGGCCTTGCTGGCCTTAATTTTTGCAGTAGCAGGAGCCTCTCCGCCGTGTGCTGGATGAGGGCATTGTTTGGGAGGACAGAGAACTCTGGGCAGTTTTCAAGCAGAAGTGGAGGAAGGTGGACAACACTTGAGTTGGACCTGTGCAGGAACGGTGGATCTCTCCGCTAGCTGTGCGATTTTCACAAGGAAAGATTCATCCCTTCTTCCACGAGCGTGGGCCCATCTCAGAGGCGGGAAGAAACGGTACTTTTCCGAGCTTGTCCCTTTTCTTCTTTTCTGTTCTTTGTTTCTGTCTGTTTTCTTTTTTCTTTTGTTCTTCCGTTTGTGCAAAGCGGTTCTAGTCAGGTGATGCTGCAGATAAAGCTTGCGAATGTCAAGGAGAAGAACCTTCGGACAAAGCCTGGGCCTCCGGGGCCAGGACCTGTAGGAATGAAGTGCATCGCTACTAGGAACAAGGGCATCGCTACTAGGAACAAGAAGCCACTACTAGCGATGCCCTTGCTACTAGTAGCTACTAGTAGATTGTTCTTCACCCTCATTGTCACACCAGTCTACCAGTCCATGTTGCAACCTGCTTGCATTTGTATGCCATGCTGTGGTTTTGATACTCTGAGACTCTTTTCTGAAGCACCCAAAGCATGGAGGTTTCAGAAGCTCTTGTTTTGGGGCCAGTAACTGCAGCTCAAATTGAAAGAGCAGGAATTCTCAATGGCGTTTTATGGTTGTAGAGGAAGACTCACTCATGTGTGCCTTTTCATAGTTGCGACCTTGCTTGTTTGTCGTTGTAGCTGTCCGTTTTCATTTGCCTTCTCCGCATTTTTTTTCAAACTGTGTTTAACACATTCGTTTGTTTCACTCGCATTGCGTGCCCTTCGGCGCATTGATCCACCTGCAGCTGCAGGCGCATTGATCCGCCTTTTCCACCAATTCGGCTTTTGCACCTCAAGGAGCAGGTCAGCGACGCTACGAACGGGGCTCCTGGCCTTACTAGCAACAAGAAGCTACTAGTAACAAAGGGCATCGCTACTAGTAGCTTCTTGCTACTAATAGGTTTGGTGTTTCCCATTACCTGCAACAGTCAAAAGATTATCACAATTTTTTTTAGATCCACTGTTACAGGGAATGGGATCTACCCAATATATAGGCCCAGTCTTTTCATGTTTTCTATGTTGGAGGTTCACTTCAGCTTTTGGCCTGCTTGGGGCGCCTTTTCTTCTATGTCTCTCTCTCTCTCTCATTTGTGCCTTTTCGATTGAAGAGTTGTCGCTTGTCAAGTTATTTTCAGGTAGCAACAGGAAAAATCCTGGACGACCTCTAGCTACATGAGCAATCATGAGCAATCAGGCCTACACCAGGGTCAACAACCAAGGTCAAATTGGGGCAGCCAACACCAACGTCCAATGTTTGTGGTAGTCAGTTCTGGGTACCATATAGCCATCGCTAGTAGGGTGGAGGCCATCGCTATCAGTTTTGTACAATGGACGCAATGTGCCGACAGGGTCTAAGGGTCCCAGGGCAACACGTACATGCGACCTGCCCACCAGAGCGAGTTGGTCGGACATGGCCTTATTAGGTTGGACCACTTCAACAGCATTTAGCCCTGAAGAGCCGCGAAAGGCGGCAAAAGCTAGGCTGAAAAGACCCCCCTGGCTTGAGCGCCTTTTGCTTAGTTGTTACTTTTGTTCTGAAGTGGAATCATGTTTTGCCTTTTCAAGGCACTCTTGTCATCATACCACCCCCTGACCTTCTGCCGCTTGGACAGTTGTAGGACCTTGCTTCTATCCCCACCCCATCGCTTTGATGATGAAACTGAAAGGGAGATCCTAGTAGCTTACTTCTCCCTTAATTAAGTAATTAGGCACCTACTTAATTGAGTAGGAGCGGGCTAAAACCACAAAAAAGCTTCTTTGTGTAGCAGTCCCGAGGGTAGGTAGGATGGCTCCAATGTTGAAACGCTGCAGCTTTGAGCGGATTTAAACAATTCTCGGTCACTGCAGAGCACCGCAGCCAGGGCGTGCTTGTCACATTGGACAACCGGCGCCTTTATGCGCTGCAGCGCTTTGCGTTGCAGGAGAGAAAGGGAGAGAGCGCAGCTAGAGCAGCTTACGACGCGACAAATCAGGGCTCTTGTTAGTCATAAGTAACGGCCACGAGCAGCAAGAAGCTACTGGCCTTACTACTAGGAATAAGGACGCTACTAGGGGCTCCTGGCATCGCTACTAGGAACAAGAAGCTACTAGTAGCAAGATGTGAGTTTTCTTGTGGTAATACTACGGTTCTTCCAGCCTTCAAAAGCTCTGCTTCGTGAGGAATGGCCGACACCCTGCTTGGTGCGGGCTTTGTGTGTGGATGAGCTCACGCCCACCAGGTGGAAGCCTTGTTTCCAGCTTCAACGGAGTGCTTGGTGCTACTAGTAGCGATGCCCTTTGCTCCTAGAAGCGATGCACTTGTTCCTAGTAGCGAACCTTGTTACTACTAGTAAGGCACTTGTTACTACTAGTGTGGCACCTGTTCCTAGTAGCTTCTTGTTACTAGTAGCGATGCCCTTTGCTCCTAGGAGCTTCTTGTTCCTAGTAGTAAGGCCAGGAGCCCCTAGTAGCGTCCTTGCTCCTAGTAGCGATGCCAGGAGCCCCTAGTAGCGTCCTTGCTCCTAGTAGTAAGGCCAGGAGCCCCTAGTAGCGTCCTTGCTCCTAGTAGCGATGCCAGGAGCCCCGTTCGTAGCTTTTGGTATTTCCAGCTTCAACGGAGTTGAACACCTTTGTTCTTGGCATTCCTCGCTGGCTTTCTGCCAGCCGGAGAACATTCCGACTTGACTCGGTAGTGCATGGGGTGCCAGTATTTGACGACCTCAGCTGTTTCAAGCAAAAAGAACATCAAACAATGTTGTTTTCCACAGTGCTCCGCAGCTTCCTTTTTTTGTTTTCCAAGTTGGAGTTTCTTTTTTAAGACTCTCCTTGTTCCTGTTCAGTTGTAGATTACATTCAGTTTGCTCTTGAGCCATGGCGAGTGGTCTCGAGCGAGAAGTGCTACATGACGTGGATCGAAAATCTATGGCGAGAAGTGCGATTGAAGAGCTTCGTGCCATTGTCACTATGTCGCAGTGATGTTTTAGCTTAATGTTGCATTTGAGCTTTCTGTAGGCAGAACACCTCACAAATCAAGGAACCTCACAATAAGAGCGATGGCCTCCAACCTACTAGCAAAAGGAACCTACTAGCAATGGCCTCCAACCTAAGAGCGATGGCCTCGAAGCTACTAGCAATGGCCTCCAACCTTCTATAGTAATAACATGTAGCTTATGGATTGTGGAATCTGATTGCCCAGCCCTGCGGGACTACTAGGCGAAGCTGGGAGTGCCACTGGCATTGTCGTCCGCTTCTGGCACGTTGAATGGGTTGGTGTGCAGCGTACTGTTAGGTCGTTTGGATACTTTGGCGCTGGCAGCTGTTTCGGTGAGTGGAATCTGGACCTCCATCACCGATGTGCTCTTCTTCTCAGGGACCTTTGGTCAATTTGTAGACATTTTGGTGAAATTCTCTTTGAGAAGTCCATGACACCAAACATCTCAATTTCAGTAACGGCATCGGCGACGAACAATACGGGCATCCGCCACGTTTGTCACAAAAAATCGCGCCTCGCGACTCGCGGGGCGACTCGGAGCGTCGTGTGTCTCTCGGAGATGAACGACTCGAGGATTGGGCAGTTCGTCGCTTCTTGTTACTAGTAGCTTCTTAGTTACTACTAGCGTGGCACCTGTTACTACTAGCGTGGCACTTGTTACGACTCGAGGATTGGGCAGCTGTCGATGTTCTGCAGCCAAGCCTATGGCGCTGGAAACTACGCCTTGGTGGGCACCATGGACCTAGCGATCGGACGCGAGGAACCCGGGCATCGCTACGAACGGAGCATTCTTTCGTAGCCAATGGACGCCAATGGTTGGACGAAACGCATTGGAACTAGCGTAGCGGCCGAGTCCTCGCTCCATTCGAGTCGCGAGGCCCCTTGGTTCCGTTCGTAGCGTCCTCTTGCTCCGTTCGTAGCGATGCGTAGCTTCTTGTTCCTAGTAGTAAGGCCAGGAGCCCTTAGTAGCGTCCTTGCTCCTAGTAGCGATGGCCTCCAACCTAAGAGCTTTTGAGGCACCTGGCTGCAAATCTATTTGGTCTTTGTGACTGCGGCTGGAACTCCTTTTATGCTCCTGCGCTTTTTGACCAGCCCAGTTCTCCAAGCCTTTGGACTTCATCACGATGTTGCTGTCACTGCGGGAACTTACACTGTTTGGTCTCAAGTGGGCTTCCTTTTCGATATATGGTATGCATCCATCAAGGAGTATTATGCTTCTCAGCAGATTACCTTGCCGGCAGCCATCGTGGATGGCGGCTTTGTTGTGGTGAACTTTCTGCTGAGCTACGCTGCGATCTTCTCATTCAGAGGTGGAATCATTGGTGCAGCACTGGCATTTTCTGTTGGCAAGTTCCTTCGAGCCGAGGCCAAAATCGAGCAGTGAGGAGGATTTCTTACCTTTTCACCCAAGTCAAGAGACCAAAATGCAGTTCGAAGCTAAATGTAAGCGATGGAAGATTCCTTCCTTCACACCCAAATGCATCTTTAGAAAGACCTGCGTTGCAAAATGGACGATTCCTAGTGCTGTTCTGCATCGCACATCGTCCTCCAAGGAACTGTCATCTACATACTCGTGTGTTGGAGACGAGGGTATCACAAGCGAACTTGGCCGGGTTGGTCCTACAAGGACTGACTGGGCACAAACATCTGTGGGATTTTGTTTGTTCCAAGACTAGCGAACCTTGTTCCTAGGAACAAGTGCCTCGCTACTAGTAACAAGTGCCTTACTAGTAGTAACAAGGTTCGCTACTAGGAACAAGTGCCTTACTACTAGGAACAATAAGCCTAAGTTAAACTGTACGATTTCCACTTCGAGTGGAAGAGCCTTGCGTGACAGTCACTGAAGAGCCAGATTTCTGCAAATCCGAGGAGATCTTCGTTTGTGAGAGGTGGCGTCGTTTATTAGCAATGACCATCCCGGCCGCCATTGGAGGCTTTGCTGAGGAGTTGCAGTTCCAGGTGGGGAGACGGGTCGCAGTATTCGGTGCTCTAGTGGAAATCAAGAGCAAGTGCACAGCAAGCGCTCAATCGCTCCAACCTACCAAGTTCCGAAAGCACCAGTGTTCATGCTGCATGCGTGAAATAGATGTGGACATGGTAACAGGCCGGACCGGAGCAAGGAAGTGTATTCGAACATTCCGACGATGAAAAGCATCACATGAAAACGGGCAAAGACGATGGCACACTGCGGCCCGGGACGCCTGGCGAAATGTTGACGCCTGGCACCGCGTTGCAAGAAATCGATGAATGATCGCTCCGTTCGTAGCGATCCCCTTTGCTCCTAGTAAGCGTCCTTGCTCCTAGTAGTAAGGCCAGGAGCCCCGTTCGTAGCGTCCTTGCGAAATCGATGAATGTTGCAAAAGGTTCAAGTCTGCTAGGCTCCCAGGTTGGAACCCCTCGCGGCCATTGCTGTTTGGTTGAAGGGAACGGTTTTTAGTCCACCCGGCTCCTTGCGGGTTCAAGTGAAACCGCCATTTTCCAGGTTTGCACCTTGATGGCCGGCGAACTCGGTCCGGCCGAAACGGCGGCCTTTGCCCTGGCATCTCGGAGATTTGTTCAAATCGGACACGCATCTTATTACTAGTAGCGTCCTTGCTCCGAGTAGTACGGCCAGGAGCCCCTAATAGCGTCCTTGCTCCTAGTAGCGATGCCCTTTGCTCCTTGTTACTAGTAGCTTCTTGTTCCTAGTAGCGATGGCCTCCAACCCAACCTAAGACACCCGGGTATGTAAAATAGTTGTCGTTTTGTGAAACTCAACTAATTTCTGTCGCTTGATGTAGTTTTAGTCGTTTTCTGGAAAATCTGCCGCTTCATGGGTTTGCCTGCCACTGTGGACTTTCAGTAGTGCAACAAAAACACGCGCAAACAAATTGGGCCGTTTTGGTGCCGTTTTGCGCAGTTTCGTTTCTTGTGTTTCTTTTGGGTGATGTGTCAACGTTTATAATTTCCCCCATTCTATCCAAAATCCAAAAAGTGCTGCACTACAGAAATTTGTGCCGCCTGCCCCAACAACTATGTTGTGTTCGAAACAACCAAAAAAAACATACAAAGGAAGATGTAGGAATAGGGATGGCATCAAGAGGATTGGCAGTGTTTTGAGGATTGGGAGAGCCCCCTGGTTTTTGCTTGTTGACATTGCAGTGAAGGCACTTTGATTCACTCAAGCAAAAGCAAGCGAAAGCAAAGGTAAATAGGCAAAGGTCAAAAGCCTCATATTCTGGTTAAGCTGTGTATGTGAGATACTGCCAAATTGTGAGCAAAATCAAGACTGCCTTGCACTGCTTTTTTCATGAGCTGCCGTTATTTGGATTGGAGGGCTCACTTCAATCCTCTGCACTGCCTTTGATTTGGCATAGTCTTCACTTCCGCTGCGCCAGAGCCAATGGCCTCCAACCTACTAGCGATGGCCTCCAACCGAATATGGATGGCGTATTGATACTGATATTCTTATTGATGCTTCTGAATGCTTCTATGGTTCCATTCGAGGTGATGAACATCTTGGTCTTGGCCTTTCTATTTGCCATGGCCATGGGGGATAGCATCGGGATTCGTATGGCCAACTGCTTGGGTGAGGGCCACGCAGCAAAGGCGGCCTTCACCGCGCGCTTGGGGGTCACTGTTGCTCAGCTGCTGTCAACTTGCAACAGGGACGACCCTGGTATTGTACCTCGTAAAGCTTTGCATGTTCACTAATAGCTTTTTGTTACTACTAGTAAGGCACTTGTTACTACTAGCGATGCACTTGTTACTACTAGCTAAAAAATACGATAAAACGAATAAACAAATGTCACTACTTTTGTCCGTCCTTCGACATGAGCGGCACTACGAGAGGTACCAATGCAAAAACGATGGTTGCAATAAGGATACTGCCCACGATGGACACCTCAATCGACAAACAAATTCAATTGACTTCTTGAACTCATTTTGCTCTGATAGGTTTTTAAGCTAGTAGAAACAAGTGCCACGCTACTAGTAACAAGTGCCTTACTAGTAGTAAGAAGAAGCTACGAACGGGTCTCTTCCTCTTTCGGACGAACCAATACCAGGGTCGTCCCTTTTGCCATTAAACCCTCCTAGTAGTGTTTCAAGGTTTCGAATTGTCTGTATCAATTCACTGTGTGATTCGCGCACGAGCACAGATTGCACTGATAGTCTAATAACTGCCAAACTGCCAAAGTCTCAAAAAGATCTCGCAAAGACTCCAAAGCTAGTAGTAACAAGTGCATCGCTAGTAGTAACAAGTGCCTTACTAGTAGTAACAAAAAGCTATTAGTAAACATGCAAAGCTTTATTGTATTACATATTTTCATATTGTTTTTTTCAACAATATTCATTTTTGTTTGTGGGGGAGGGGTAGGCCGTAGGTAGGAGGTAGGTAGTGAGGTAGGTAGTAGCCAGGTAGGTAGGCAGCTAGAAGAAGCTATAGCCAGTAGCTACAAGTAAGCTACCACATATGGACGCAGGATGGCTCACACTTCTTCAAGGAAGCTCCAGCTTCCTTGAAGAAGCGCTCGCACTATTCATTTGGTTTCTAGACTTTGAGGGACACTTAACCTAATAGCATGGCCTCCAATCTACTAGCGATGGCCTCCAACCTAGTAGTGATTATATAAGACGTGGTTGTTTTGTCTGGTGCAAAGAGATTGGTTTGATTCTGGAAGCAAGGACGCTACTAGGGGCTCCTGGCCATACTACTAGGAGCAAGAAGCTACTAGGGGCTCCTGGCATCGTTGTTCGATTGGCCGACATCGTTGGAGGATCCAACAGTTCAACAGCAAATGATTCGTCTACGATGGGCTGGCACCGTTACCATTGCCTTAATTGGAGGCGTCCTGCCAGTCGTCACAGTCGCTCAGCGGCAGGTCCTCGTCGTTTCCCCGAGTTCAAGGCCATCGCTCTCAGGTTGGAGCTAGTAGGGTGGAGGCGATCGCTCTTGCAACTCAAAGAAGATTGTTTTTTTGTTTCTTTCCCGCTTTGCGCTTTGAGGTGCTTACAAAGCAGGGCCGAACCAAGATTGTCAGCATCACATTGCCAGTCTGTTGTTGGCTGCTTGGCTTTCCGAGCAGCTACTTCCTGGGAAGAATCCATGGGCTGCTCGGGATATGCGAAGGCCTCATCATTGGCTACTCTGCAGCCGCTCCGGCAGATCTTTCAGGATTAACACGCGTACACTTACACACGCCTCCAACCTAGTTGTAATGGCCTCCCACTTAGAAGCAATGGCCTCCAACCTAGAAGCCATGGCCTCCAACCTACTGGCGATGGCCTCCAAACAAGAAGCAATGGCCTGCCTCCAACCTAATATTGATGGCCTCCAACCTAGAAGCAACACAGTGGCAGACCGACTCTGTACACACTGTACCAAGGCCTGTGTTTGCTTGATGGTGGCCTTCGCATTGTCGAACTGGCCAGCCTTGGCTCTGGATGCTCAGCGCCGTGCTGAAGTCATGAATCGCAACGACCAAGTTTCTCTGAACAGCGAAATCTGACCACATCAACTGTGTAGCGCCTTCTCAACTGCGAAGCAGTTCTGCGAAGAACAGTTGAAGATTTCGAAAAGCGAATCGATGTTTAGCTAGGTTGGAGGCCATCGCTATTAGGATTGTTTATTGAAGAGCTCTTTGTTGGCGAGTTGGGATCAGCGAATGCAGCCGAGTTGGCCTCGTGAGGCTTCGCGCCGAGAACCGGAAATTCACCAACCGTCTCTGCGGTCTGCAGCTCGAGGTGTGGGGTGATGTGTGCCGCCCGTGGGGCCTTAGTAACAAGAAGCTATTAGGAACAAGTGCATCGCTTCTAGTAACAGGTGC